AATAATATATAATAAATTAAATAAATAAGATAAAAATAATATTATTTTAAAATTAATTATTATTTATTTTATTTATATTTTTAAATATCAATAATAATTTTATTATTAAATTAAATATTATTTATCTTATTTTATAATATAATTTTAAATTATTTATATTTCTTATAATTTTATTTTTATAATAAAAAATTTATATAATTAAATAAAATAAATTATAAAATTAATTAAAATATATATTCTTAGTTTTCTAATTAAATTTTTTTTAAATTAATAGTTTATAATATAAATAAAACTTTTTTAATATTAATTAAAAATTAATTAATATAATAATAATTTAATATAATTTAATATAAATATAAATTTTAAAAATTATAATTATTAAAAATTAAATTATATTTATTTAGAATTTTTAATTTAATAAAATTATATATTTTTAATTTTTTAAAATTTAAATAAATATTTAAAATTTTTATATAATTTAATTTAATTAAGTATAATTAAATCTCTTTATAATTAAATCTTTTTATAATTATTTTTTTTTAAATTTTCAATTATTAATTAATTATAATTAAAAAATATCTCTTTATAATTATATTTTTTTTATATTATTATTTTTATTTTTTCAAGTATAATAATTATAAAAAGATTTAATTATATTTTAATTTGATAAGTAATTTGAAATTATATCAAAAATATCAATTTTTAATTTGTTAATTAACTAAGAATTTTTATTATTTATATTTGATTTTGATTTATATTATTAATTCTTATTGATTTATATTTTAATTTGAAAATTATTACTATAATAATTAAAATTGATTATCAAAATTCAGAAAGTTTGATAATTAATGAATTATTAAACTGAAATTATAAAAAGTTATTAATAGACAATCAGATCTTTCTATAGTTACACCTCTCTATAATTGCATTTTTTTATAGTCATTTTTTTTGAGTTATAATTAAAAAAATCTTTCTATAATCACAATCATCTAATTTTGTTTTTCCAGATGAAGTGATTATATAGATAGATTTGACCATATTATCTATTTAAATTTGAAATTTTATGAATTTCAAATTGACAAACATCCTTAGTAATAATAATTCGTTTCATTTTACTAACTCTTCCAAATTATAAATCATAAACAATATGATTGATATTTTATTCATCCAAGTAGCTATTTTTTAAAATATATTACAATTTATAATATATCTTCATTAATGAATCTACAAATAAATGCATTATAAAAAATGAAATATATCAAAGTGTAAATTTTGAATTTACAGTAAAAATAAAAATGGGTTTCCTATATTATACTTTTAATCATAATTGAATTTATATTTTAATTATAAACAGTGAAATTTATCATCGAAGATGTGCAAGTGATCAAAACTGGCGTTTATTTCATAAAAAATGTATCTTAAAAGAATATTATCGTGTACAGGCTCCAGGGTAAATTATCTCGAGTTACATGTTTAAACATGCGTTACTACAATTAAAGATAGCATATCTCGCGTATATACACATATACATATATTCATTCTTATATTTAGACTATTTTATCTAAATGGGCGCACACCCTTTCTGGTCATTCACAAGAAATTCCTGTGACAAGTAATTTCGGGAATAAAAAAGTGTCAATTTCAAATTTAGAAAGAGATAAATACATCAATTATCAACGGATTGAAGATAATTTAACTATCCTGAAAAAGAGGTGGAGATCATAATTTTTATTCATATTTGTAGACTACAACATTCCTTTAGGTGAAGGATTTTCTATTCATATAAGGATGCTGAGATCTATTACAGTAGAAGTCAAAAGTATCCAACCATCTGTAACTTTTTATATTAAAAATTTTTTGTTTTAAACTTTTAGAATAATTAAAATTATTATATTAAAATCTAAGTGTTTAATTTTTGTCGCTACTAAAAATACTTAAATTTTAATATATTAATTTTCAAAATATTAATTTAAAAATTGTTTTTATTGCATTTTGATTAATATTTTTTAAAATTCAGTTCTCATTTAAATTTGTTATAATAATTACAAAACTATAAAAATTTCATGGTAATTAATCTTTAATAAGTCACAAGCGGTTGGATACTTTTGGCAATTACTGTATGATGTTGATCAATAGCGAATACTTTATTGTATCCACACTTTGATTTAATCTCAGCACTGTATGTAAAGGGAGGATAGAAATATTATCCGGATACATACTACAGAATGTTGCAGCTAATATATTTCAGCGGTCTTGCTGTATCACGTATTGTTGGAATAAAATTATTCTAAGTAAAATTATAGTACTTAAAGAACATCTTGTTCTAGATTAGGACATCCATTGACATTATCCGAAAAAATAGTATACGGCCATTTGGACGATCCTGTGAATCAAGAAATAATTCGTGGTAAATCATATCTGAATCTTCGACCTGATCGTGTTGCATGTCAAGATGCAACCGCACAAAGTGTATTGCTGCAGTTTATATCAGCTGGTATACCAAAGGTCGCTGTGCCTATGTCTATTCATTGTGATCACTTGATTGAAGCAGAAGCTGGGGGTGATAAAGATTTAGCACGTGACAAAGAGGTTAATAAGGAAGTATATGACTTTATGGCAACTGGTTCGGCGAAATACGATATTGGGTTTTGGCGTCCTGGTTCTGGGATTATTCATCAGATTATCTTGGAAAATTATGCTTTCCCTGGTGGTCTTATGATTGGTACCGATTCTCATACTGTGAATGCTGGTGGCCTGGGGATGGTGGCGGTTGGTGTTGGAGGTGCAGATGCTGTAGATGTTATGGCAGGAATTCCATGGGAATTGAAGTGTCCTAATATCTTGGGTGTTAAATTGATCGGAAAATTGAGCGGCTGGACCACACCAAAAGGTAATTAAAAAATTATTTTCCTTCACAAAAGAAAAATGATATTAAATATTTTTAATTACCGTCTTTATATAGATGTAATTCTCAAATTAACTGGTCTTTTAACGGTGAAAGGAGGCACTGGGTCCATTGTTGAATATTTTGGACCTGGTGTAGAATCTTTATCGTGTACCGGTATGGCTACAATTTGTAATATGGGTGCTGAAATTGGAGCTACAACTTCAATATTTCCTTTCAATAGTCGTATGGGTGATTTTCTTCGTGCGACAAGACGAGGTGAAATCGCTGCATATGCTGAGAGTTTTGCTCATAATCTGCGTGCCGACGAAGGAGCTCATTATGATCAAGTCATCGAGATTAATCTATCAGAATTAGAACCACATATTAACGGCCCCTTTACACCCGATCTCGCAACGCCCCTAAGCAAATTTAAAGATGCAGTCGAAGCGAATAATTGGCCATCGGAAATTAAGGTGGGCTTGATTGGTTCATGTACAAATTCCTCATATGAAGATATGAGTCGTTCTGCCTCAATAGCCAAAGAAGCTCTAGCTCATGGATTGAAAGCGAAATCTCTATTCACAATTACACCTGGATCTGAACAAATTCGCGCTACAATTGCACGTGATGGCCAAGAGGAAGTTCTAAAGAACGTAGGGGGTCTTGTCTTAGCCAACGCATGCGGTCCCTGTATTGGACAATGGAAACGCCAAGATGTGCAAAAAGGAGAAAAGAATACAATCATATCATCCTTTAATCGTAATTTCACTGGTCGTAATGATGCAAATCCTGCAACACACGCTTTCGTCACATCACCTGATCTTGTAACAGCGATGGTTTTCGCTGGTGACCTTCGATTCAATCCAATCACTGATACTCTTATTGGTGCTGACGGGAAACCTTTTAAATTTACTGAACCCAATGGTGCAGAATTACCTCCGCGTGGCTATGATCCTGGAGAGGATACCTATCAGGCACCACCAGAAGATCGCTCAAATGTAAATGTGCTCATCAGTCCTGATAGTAGTCGCCTTCAATTTCTAAAGCCGTTTCCAAAATGGGATGGAAAAGATGCTGAGCAGTTGCCAATTTTAATAAAGGTCAAAGGAAAGTGTACTACAGATCACATTTCCATGGCTGGTCCTTGGCTTAAACTCCGTGGTCATTTAGATAATATATCAAATAATATGCTAATTGGAGCTGTTAATGCTGAGAATAATGCTGTTAATAAAGTCAAGAACATTCTTACTAATGAATACGATGCTGTACCGTCTGTTGCTCGGCAATACAAAGCAAATGGTGAGAAATAACACTTTGGTCTATTTACACCTGTAGCATACTTAATCAACCAATTTGGTTTTATAGGAATTCGTTGGGTGGTTATAGGAGATGAGAATTATGGAGAAGGTTCCGCTCGTGAACATGCAGCGCTCGAAGTACGTTATTTGGGAGGCATCGCAGTCATAGTGAAATCATTTGCACGTATCCATGAGACGAATCTCAAAAAGCAAGGTCTCTTACCGCTTACTTTTGCAGATCCATTCGATTACAATAAAGTAGATCCATCAGATAAAGTTTCCATAATTGGTTTAACCTCTTTCACCCCCGGGAAACAATTGACTTTGAGAATTCACAAAGTATCTGGGGAAACTGTGGATATTCCCGTTAATCATTCTTTCAATCAAAATCAAATTGAATATTTTAAAGCAGGTTCAGCTTTGAATCGAATCGCCGAAAGTTTTAAATCATGATGATTGATATTTGGTTACTTACATTTTATGAATAATCATTAAAATTTCTAGGTTAACTTTTTACAAATAACGATAATAAATAAATTCGTATATCTTCACTATTCACGTGACATAATACAAACCCTTAACACGTGATTAAAGAAATTTTAACCTGGCTCGCTTTAATTTCTTTTCTAATTTTCTTTCGATTGATCATTTCAAAGGTTATTCTAAACCATATTTTGATGAATAATTATAACAAAACAAGATTGATGATTCAAAAACTAAAACCAAGAACCATTACTAATATTAATAATAATAACTCTTGTTTTCGATTTTCCTCATCTAATAATATTGGTGGCACCATCATCGGTGATAAAACTATGAAGCATATTAACTTTCAAATGCAAAATGCGAAAAATGACGATGATCATCATAGCAAGGAAAATGATTACATCAAAAAAGAAAGTATTTATAATAACTTATCAATATTTGGAGACAATCAAAAAATGAGTTGTCGTCGTCTGAGTAAACCATTAAGTGTTGCTCCGATGCTTGATGTGACCACTCAGGTAATGATTAATTTATTGCTTAACATAAATTATATATCTATTACTAAACAAATAAATATTTCTCATGCTTAGCATTTTTTGCAACTTTGTCGGATAATATCACCAAATTTTCTTTTATACACCGAAATGATCCATTGCAATGCAATAATTTATCATGCCAATGATCTAAGCCAACTACTTGGTCCTCCATTCTCAGACACAGTCGTACAATTAGGTGGATCCGATCCACGGGCGATGAGTCAAGCTGCGTTAATATTAGCAATGAATGGTTGGCGAGATATTAATATTAATGTCGGATGTCCGAGTGACAGAGTTCAGGTAAGAAAATTGAACATTATTACGATGGGTGAAGAATTAATTACGAGATCATATCAATTTTTTCTTTGATTTATGATCTAAATAGCATAATAACTGTGGTGCGATTTTGATGAAATCACCGGATTTAGTTGCACGTATAGTTACTGCGATGGCGGAAGTAAATCAACATGATGACATTTTACCAATAACAATAAGCATAAAATGTCGAATAGGCGTTGATGATATAGATTCATACGAACAGCTGTATCATTTTGTAAATATGGTTGTTTCTTTTTTTCAATAATCATTGATTTCTCGAATGGGGATGACGATTTTTTGATTTCATCAATTGTACTTTTCGTTTTACATCCAATTAAAGATTTCAACGGTCTCAAAAACAAACTTTGTGAATCACTTTATCATACATGCACGAAAATGTTGGCTTAAGGGGCTTTCACCTGCACAAAACCGTACAATTCCAAAGCTTGACTATGAACGCGTATATCGCATTGCCAGCGATTTTCCGAACCTAGTTTTTACCATTAACGGCGGAATTGATAATGCTGATAAAATAGTAGAACAACTTGAGAAAGTGGATGGCGTTATGATTGGCCGAAAAGGTACTATTAATTGAATTGAAGTTTATATTATATTCAAATTGGCCGACTGATTGTTTGATTAATTGATTGATAGTGATGAATCGTCCAATGTTTCTCGCAGAATTAAATAATTGTAAAGATAAAACCAATTAGTTTTCCTTCACGCTTATACCACTTGTATTTATTAATAATGATACATATTTTTTCTCCCAAGATTTTTATGGAATTCCTCCTAAGCCAGACCTCGAAATCATAGATGAGTATATTGGTAAGGATTCTACCTTTTATGGATTGTGATCTCTTTTCAATTCTTTAATCGTATAAATTCCGATTCAAATAGACTATTTATCAACATATTTGGCATCTTTAAATGCATCTAAGTTATCGACTCTATCTCTTAGTATCTTGTTAAAGCCAATATTTATGATTGTTTCCGGCTCCAGAGGAAAATGTTTTCGCCGTCATCTGCAACTTAATATCACAAAATATAGAAAATCAAATCCTTTTAACCCTAATTATGACAATAATATCAATGATTACGCTTTAAAACTTGTTGATGATATACGATCGTTTGTCAAACAAAGTTTATTAGATGCCGAATTAGAACATCAAAATAAAATGAATCAAACTCAACAAGATTTAATTTGAAGCTTTAATTTAATAAAATAGAATTTAATTTAATTATCTAGAGTTATAATAAAGACACGAATAAAGCTCAAAATAATTTATAAATCAAAAGAAAAATTAGCTGCGTCTTAAAAAGCTCGTTTAGGTCTATCATTAAAATCGGTTCTACAATCATTTTTACTGAGACATCACGATAATTTAAATTGCTACCACCACTTCGTTCCCACGAATTTGAGCTGATCTTCGAAAATTGGTAACTATCTCTTTCTTCAGATTTGGCGCTGGACTGTTTTTTTGTGGCAAAGCTTGACCGAGAATCAAAATTACGATAATTTAATCTGCCTCTTTCTTCAGCATTGGATCTGGGCAGTTTGATTTTCCCAAAACTTTCTCGGGAAATTCCTTCATCACGTTCACGGAATTTTGTTCTATGTAATTCCCGTTTTTCTGAATTAATTTTGAAATCATTATACCTTGTTGTAACTTTTGATTTTCGTCTTGACTTCTCATCGTCACTTATAAAGTCATTATATTCCGAAGAAACTTTTGATTTCCTTTTAGGCACATCGTCTTCGCTTTCGTATTCATCGTATTCTGTAGAAACTTTTGATTTTCTTTTTGGCTTTTTGTCATTGCTCTCGAAGTCATCATATGTTGATATAAATTTTGATTCTCTTTTAGGTTTTTCATCATAGCTCAAAAATCACGATATAAGTTTTGATTTTCGTTTCGGCTCGTCTTCGCTTATGTGTTCATCATATTTTACAGAAATTTTTGATTTGCGTTCCGATTTTTCTTCGTCGCTCATGAGATCATATCCCGACGAAAATTTAGATTTGCGTTTTGGATTCTCGTCATCGCGCCAACGGCTTGCCTTTATACAGTGTGTAACGAAAATAAATGGCGGAGACAAAAAATTGTATATCTTGACAAGCACAAAAGAGAATTAGATAAAATTTTGTCCACTTAAACTTTATTACATACTCTATCAACCAAATAAATTTTAATATGAAATTCGATCTCCATTATTTTTTTATAACTGGTTCGCATCTATTTTTCATTGAATGTATTAAATTTTTCACTGTTTTGTCTGAAATGTTTTCCCATTCTTTAATCATATATTGTCTTAATTCGTCAATATCTTGTGGCATACATTTTTCTACATTATTTTTTACAATTTGCCACACATTTTTGATGGGATTTAAGTCTGGACTGTTGGATGGCCAGTCCATGACTTTAATTTTATTTTCCTTGTAAAATTCCGTTGTGATACATGAAGTGTGCTTAGGATCATTATCTTGTTGTAACTCCCAGCAGTTTCCATACAACTCTTTTGTACTTGAAAAAAAAAAGATCCATTCATAATGTCTGTGAAGCAAAACAAAGGGGTCTTGTCTTTTAAAGAAATTCCATCCCATGCCATAATTTTCTGACATGACTTTGATAGATGTTGAATGAACCTATTATTATTTTCATGTCATCTTGACATCTTATTTCTAAAAAGATCAAAGGCCATCTCATCTGTAAATATTATTTTGTTCCAGTTCTTGTTTAAATAAGCTTGTGCCCATGCTTTTCATGTCTTTATATGACAATTGGTTAATATTGGAATTGCAAGAGGCAGAGAGTTGTGATATTCTCTTTTTTTCATATGTCTTCAGACAGACATATATGAGATTGATAAGTTGTGCTCATGTTTAGCTAATAGAGCAAGATATTGTATCATAAGAGTCAAATTCCAAATAATATGTTGGCCCAAGGAATGAGCAAAAGTTTGTGTAATCTTTGATGACCTGCCACTATCATGCTTACATTCAATATCACCTGTTTCTTTAAGTTTTTGGATATTTTACTCAACAGTACAAAGAGGAATGCAAGATTTTTTGGTGTATTTCCTTTGCTGAAATGATATTATTTTGCCACAAAAGTGAAATAGTTTGATGCTGAGCCTCAAGTTTTGCGCTAACCATGTTTTTGCAAGGTTTTAAACATGAAACAGAAAAAGACAGTGAAAGCTCATGGTTATATATTTAATAAAATGTAAACAAACAAGTATTAATGGTAGAAATCGCGTTTTGTTGTTTTTTAATTATAACTAATTTATTGTCTTCAACCGCCATTTTTTTCGTTACACACTATTTTTCTTTATCGTAATATTCTTGTCTTGCTGCGACGAGTTTTTTCTGTAAGTTTACCTTGTTCGACTTCTTCCTTCTCACCTTGCTTTTTCAGTAGATTTTCCAATTTTTTTTCGTAAAAATTTTTAAGGAAGGTCCATGCCTCTAGCTTTTGATCTAACAGTTCGTCATCAGCTCTTTCCAAAGCCAATGAATACGCTTTGATAATTGCTTGTAGAAAATTTACATTTTCGATCTTGACCGGAAGTTTAGAATTTTTCTTCATGGATGTATTCAATCCAAGAACTTCGATTCTTTCTAGTAACCAACATATTTGATTTATTCCACGGGATTTCCTCCCGTTGGCCAATTCCAGCATCAAATTTAATATATGTGCATCGGGCATTAATTTCATTCGCAGCATATCTTCAAATATCTTTGTGGCAGATCCCCAGTCGTTAACAATCCTACAAGCGGTCAACAGTAAATCGTATGTCTGCAAGACTGGCGTAATTTTTTGTGCACGAATGGTCTCGAAAATATTTATGGCACTTTTAAGATTTCTTGCCTCAATATATAAGGAGATTAAAGTATTCATGTTATAAATGTCCAATTCTATTCTTGGATATTTAGCCAGTACCTGATCAAAAAGATGTATTCCTTTTGACCAATCTCGCCCTTTAAAGCATAACCCCAGGGCAACATCAAGTGACTTTGAAGTCATCTCTACATCATATCGCGAAGGTTTTGACACATATAAAGAAGAACCAGATAATTTTATTCCGTATATTTCCTCTATAATCTCGTAACCTTTTTCTGTTTCCCCAGCATTTTTACAACATAACAACATAGAAGCGGCTAACTGGTCATCCATCCCCAATATTCCAAATCTTCCCTCATACTCTACTTTCCCTGCAGTATACCCATCTCTTTGTCTCTGTCTTTCTAGGATTCCCATTAGTTCCTCCCAAAGAACTGATGCAAACTTGAATCCTTCGACGCCATTTCTAGCACAAGAACCAAAGACTATGGTAAAAGTATCTGTATTTGGATATAACTCGCCTGAACCAAATAAACGATCGTAATTTTCACGTAAAGATTGAAAATCCTGTGAGCGGCTGCACACTTTAAGTAACGCGTTTCCGTGGATAACATTTGGACGAATTGCATTTTCACGCGCACTTGTTCTCATGTTATCAATTACGTTAATGGCATATGCTATATTGTTGGCAAAAGTGCGTTTCTCTGCGATACCATTCAGAAGGATAGTGTATGTCTGTTCATTAGGTGGAAATCCTCTACGCTTCATCTTAATATTGATCGATATAGCAAAACTAATAGTAAGTTATTTTTTTTGATATTTTTTAATCTGCAATTATCGATCATTTAATTGTAACTGATTATATACCTCAGTGAATAAACGAAAACCCATCTTAACCTTTCCAATTTTTACGCATTCTGCTATTAAATGATTCCAAACTACTTCTGATACCGCGTGTTTTGGAGCATCTATTACAAAATTTATTGCCTCTTCCAGTTTCCCATTTGTCGCGAGTTGTTGAACTTTAGCCGACATGAAGTGTGCATCTTTAGGAATGCGAACTTTCCCGGGTAGTTTCTTATCCGGAAGTTTTAAACGAAACGTGGGTGAGGTGGTTGAAAAATTTAAGCTTTGCGAAAAAAGTAATTGGTTAAGATAAGGTGACGATCTTGAACTAATTTTTGTAGAAGATAAAACCAATAATGATTTTTGTGAATGTATTTGTACAGTTTTTGTGCTAAATATCATACGCAACCTTAAAGAGTTACGCGTTAAAAAAATCATGATACGTATCAGTTATGTAAATTTCGTGGGATCAAAGGTAAAATTTTTTGAAATCTCACGTGCAAGAGTCATAGAGAGTCACTCTGAATTTTATTATTAGAATTGCGCGATCACAATATGATCAATTCAACCATTAAACACAAGTGATCAGAATTGAATCTAAGATTTGGCAATGCTGGGGAAAAATCTTTCTCTTCCGGCATTTTCAAAATTTTCGTTATTTTAATATTTCTGAATAAATTCTCTTGATAATCCATCATAAATATATAATCCAATGTTCCTTTGAACCAATGACCATAGCAAGTAAACTTTGGCTCACCAAAAATCTCTGGATTTCCTTGTTCTATCTCCTTATAATATTTCGCATAAAGCGATACAGATTTTGGAATTGTTGCGAATCGTGATAATAATTCAGAAACACGAAGTTGTTTAATTCCCTCGTTAGAATTAGTAGTGGAGTCCGGGTTAGAAGACGACGAAGACGGTATACTTTCTTCATGAAAAACTTCATCCTCAGATTCATTGAATGTTTTCATTGAATTTTCCAATAAAGAGATTTCTTCTGGTGTTAATGCACAATTTGGATGTGCTAATAGCTTATAAGTTGGATCCGTTGGTAAAGTGTTTAGATCTAAAGAAAAATTTACAATTAATTGATGTAGATTCACTACTCCTCGTTAGAAATTTCATCAAGGGTTGAACATACCACCAGCGAAAAATATATTAAATCCAAATTCTTTATTCATGTCAATTAAATTCCCAGCTAAGATTGAGATTTGTCTTCCACGCTCATACATACATTGCGGCCGCCAATATAAATGCGTGGTTCCAATTATGATTCCATTATTCTTTTTAACATTATCCGTCTCTATCGTATTATCTTCTTCGTTTTTGAAGGCCAATGCAATTGCAATCCCAACACATAATGTTTTTGTACTTGGACAACCAATCAGGTCATATTCAATAGTACGCTCTTTTAATTTTGTAAATTTTGATTTCTTCCACATTATACAACATCCTTTAAGAAAATAAGATGATCATTATTCACCATGACAACGAAAGTTATGAAAATGCTGAATAAACATGTTTACCATGTCTTTTCTTTGCAGATCCTTGAAAATATAGCATCTCGTAGCCAGACTTTTCAAACTCAGGTCTAAAAGTATCCACAAGATTTGACGAGTCCATTTCTTGAAAACAAGCAACATCCGGAGAATAATTTAATATCTCTTTAATTAACCCAGATCTACGATTTTTCCACCTGATGGCATCACCACAATCTGGAAACAATTCGCGACGACAAAGAGATTGTGCTAATAACTTTAAAAAATCATCATTGATCCCTCATTTTTCTTACATTATTCCAAAGGAGAGAAGATAAATAGAAAATCAAATTACATTATAAGTCATCAAAGTAAATTTCCGCTTATTATGATGATCGATCGCATCATTTAATGAAATCTCAGCCATTGGTCTCAAAATCAGCTCAACTGGCGGTTTATCTGATTGAGTTTCTTCTTGTTGTAATTGTTTTTTCAACCTTCGCGCTTCTCGTTTTTCTTTTATTATTCGCTCAAGTTCTTCAGGATTTTCTGATTTAATTTTCTGTTCTAATCTCTTTCCGAATATCTTTTTTTCTTTTTTTGTTAGTCTTTTTTTGGTTCCTTCTTCTTGCTTAATGGAATTCGCTTCCAAGGTACTAGAAGTGTTGGCGCAAACTTGATTGCTCATGTTTGATTCAAGTCTCTTCGTATAATGTAAAAGGCTGTAACAAAATAGTATTTGAATCAAAGGATTGATTCAACTTTTTATGCTCTCTCCTATTACAGTATCTAAAGTTGGATTTTTAAATAATCGACGTTACGGCCCGCAGATTTTTGGTCTTAGTTTTTGACACATTAAAGCTGTTAACACTGCTGCGATTGTTCCATCTATATTCTGAATAGGTTTGAAGCAAGCTGCGTAACTGCAGTTTGAACTCAAACTGCTTTGGCTGGGGTTTAGTTAAACCATTAAATAATAAATCCATAGTTGGAATGGATTAATTAATATTTCGAGGATCTATATTCACGTTGATCATCAAAAATTTTTTGAACATAAAACAATGTTCCAAAATACCTCTATATTAAATCTATCCCGTCCTCGCTTTAGTTTCTTATATAGAAATATTATTAGAATTCATTTACAAAAATATCATGGTCACAAATGTCCATCACCAGAGACGGATGATAATATTAATTTATCATTTATGATTTACTATCAAAGACGAATTCAATTAATAAACCATTGCAATAATCGATTATTAACACGTATAAAGCTATCACGACATTTTAGTAATCATGCTATTAATAACAATACTATAATCAATGATTCTGCCAAGGAGAATCTCCATGAATCACTAAAGATAAATAATAAGAATATAACTGAACATTCAAATAAATCGGTCTCCACCAACAACACAACAACTACTAATGCTAGACAATATCCAAAAATAGTAATAAAAATCTTGACTCCAATTGCAAAATGGTTTGGCTATGCCACAACAGGTGTTGCATATCGATTGATCGGTGATTTGTATCCATTATGCGCGAACCAGACTGATCAATGCAAAGAATTTTATTTTCAAAGTATGATTGCTTGTTTTTCTTGATCTCAATTTGTTCTAAAGTAATTTTATTAACACACAACTTTGTTTATTATATATATATATATATATATATATATATTAGCATGTAGTTTACCCGACACTTTTCAAACATGGTTCACTATCACTCAATTACATGTATGGATGTTAATGGTAAGACTTCGCCCTGAAAAAGATGGGAAAGTTTTCTCGCAATATTTAGTCGATGAATTTTTTGATGATGCCGAAAAAAGGATTAGACAAGATTACAATGTAAGGACTAATCTAATAATAACAATGTCATTGGTCAAGTTAATATTTCACTCCATCTTACTCGGGTAATTCCCAAATTAGATTAAAAGTAGTAGATTTGTCACTAGATATATGAAAATATTTCGTGAACAATTTAAAGGTGGAATATTGGCGTATGATGAAGCAATTTTTAATAGTGACCCTGTTTTGGCAGCTGCACTTTGGAGGTAATCGTGAATTCTTATAATTTAATTAAATCGATTGGATCAAACTACATATTTCACCTTTTTTTTGTATTTTAACAAATAGAAATATCTTTAATGCATCAGGATCTGCACAAAATACAGCTTTCCTGGTTGAATATGTGCGTAATTCTCTTCAAATGTTGGATAACTTAAATTGGACAGATCTTGATTCTAAAAATGTGAAATTTTTACGACCCGATAAAATAAATTCCCAAATACATTCATAATGTTTAAATTTATAACAAATTGTGTTGCTTTAAGAATGTATCTTTCGAGCGAGCATAAATAACGTGAAAAACAAATGATCACGGCACTCGAACAGAAAAACAAAACCATTTAGGGAATTATAAAATATTTTATTAATAAAGCACGGCAAATAGGCTGGCAAAATATTTGCAGAATCTGTACAATTATGATTATTAGTATTTACAATAGCCCAAATAATATAATAAAGTAAAACAAAAATTTAGATTCAATATTTTTTTCCTTTGACTTTGGATGATTTCGCAAGCTTGACATTTTTTCCAAGCTTATGCAAAATAGACGATGAAAGACCCTTCGTAGAACACGCGGCAGCATACGCCAATGGGATTTCTTTCTTCATAGTTGGCGTCATTGCTTTATCTTTCAATTTCGCCATATCGGTTTCTTCGTCGTTTCCAAGCAGGAGAACTTTAGATGCCGGGACCCATTTCCTGATCAATAAAATATAAATTATTGAGACGGAAAATGGTTAAGAGTTCATGCATATCATATTATACATGAAAAAGATGTACCGGAAATAAAAGAACAAGTGCTTTATATTTACCAAGTACGTCCATGACCGCCCTTTTTTCCATATTTTTCGTCAAAAAAATGAACGAGATATGTATCGCCTTCCTTTCGATCAGCCATAATTTCGGGTGTGATATATGAGCTGCTTGGGTCTTCAACCTTGATTGAGTAATAACCACATAGAGGTCACTGTAAATAATTGATTTTTAAATTCATGCATTTAATAAAAAAACAAAATAATGATTATAGTACCTCAGCTGGATACCAAGGGAAACCTTGCATTTTTGCCCAAACTACACTCCCATGTGCGATTTCGGAAACCTCTTCATCGTTAACACTTTCAGTAGTAGGGCCGGTCATATCGTTGTCAGTCCTGGGCACATCCTGATCTTCCTCCAACTCGGTTTCTTCAGGTTCTATTTTTAATATAGCACGGAATTAACCACATAAATAAATCTAAAAATTCAGACCTAAAGTTATATGTAATTAAAATAACAACTTACGAGGAAATATTGAAGTGGAGGACTCTCCAACGACAGAATTTTCACTCACGCTACGTGACCTTGTTCGAGTTGAAACATTTGTTGCAGACTTAGTAGTTGTAGAACTATTAACAATAGTTATGTTCCTTGTAACTTTTCCGGTATCCTCTTGGGTTTCTTCAGTATCATCAATTGGCTCCTCATCATCTTCGTCTTCACTTACATAAACCCAGCCTTTGGGCAGTTTTTTTTCCTCTTTTTCCTTATCAGGATCTGCTGTCTGTTTTCGTTTTGGTGTTTCCTCCACCTTTTCCTTGGCTACACTTGATCGTGTTCTACGAGGGGCAACTGTCTCCACGTCCATTGGCACCACTATCTTATCATCATCTGCTTCCGAATCTGATTTTTCATCAATTACTTCTGTGTCACGATTTGGTAATACCAAGGGATCCATATTAAAAGTAAAAATTTCGGGATTTAATTCGATATCGAGCATTTTTGTTTCTGGATTGACCGGCAACTCAGCATATTCTTTTTCTGCTCTCACGAGAATTTCCTGGCATTGAGTTTGCATCCTTCGCGCGGTCCTAAAATAGGTCGTGTGATTTGTATTATAGGTCATTGCATTACGAAAGATCAATTCTAGATCCTCCTGATGAAAAAAAGATATATAGCGTTGAGTAATTCATCTCATATATACAAAGTGATTTACATATTTAATTAAATAAAAAATAACCTTAAATGAAGCAATATCATCGTATACGTAGGTATCGATTTTCTTACGTATTGTACTAAAGTCCATTGGATTTTTGATATGCAAGTAGTAATCAGGCACTTCTTCCGCAGACACTGGCTTAGCAAATAGTTCCTGTTTATCTAATCTGTTCAAATAAATTGAAAGACGTCTTAATTTATCCCATAAAACTTAAACAATTTACAACAGTCTATTTGAAATGACTTCGCATACAATTGAATATCTTCCAAAGCTTCTCGAAGTATCCTCGTCAATGGATACAAAATTGTCTCGAGCATAGTTCGTATCATTCTATATCTTCTCAATTTTCCTTTTTCGCGTCTTTGAACAGAATCCGCTAACATTCGTACTTTTTCAATATCTTTACGTAAAACACGCATTATCTATTTATAGCCAAAGAATTTTAGTAATCGTCTCAAAATAATACTAATAGAACGAACGATGAAAATACCTCAAATCTTATAGCTTTTTCAGCTTCGGTTTGTTTGAGCACAGATGCTGATGCAGTCCATGGCTGTATTTGACATAGAAATATTTATCAATAAAATAATTCCCTATAAAATATATATATATACAAAAGAAAAATTTGCTTGCCTCAAGATGTAGTCTCTTTAACAGGGGAGCGCCACGACGAGATTCACGTTTTAACGACCAATACTTGCAGATAGTTGCCACTAAATCTCCTTTCTTTCGCAAAAAATTTTTCGACTTTTGAAGAACTGGTAACAATTTTTGCATTATAATGGCTGGCGCTATCGGTGCACTTGCAGAATAAGAATGATTATACGCGCGAGCAGCCTTATTATTTCCCTGTTCCACGCTATGTTCTGTTTTAATGTGATCCTCTTCAGCCTCTTGACGATTTTGACTGCTTTCAGAAGAAGAATATTGTCCTCTTTTTCGCTTATTTACACCATTGTTCACTTCGTAAAATTCATCCTCGTCTTCGAGATCGATTTCTGATTCTTCTTTTTCTTCATCGGGAATGAATTCGTCCGAGTCATCGGAATCGTATTGTTTGTATAATTTTCGCTTTTTTATTGCTGGTGCTTTTGCTACAAAGGCAGCTTGTGCGGCAGCAACGGTTGTCGAAACATCTACCGCATCTTTATACTCGCGCTAATAATTACAGGGGAGTATTAATATATGATCAATCAGAAATTAATGGAATTATTATTTTTGATTTCTCTAATCTTACCGGAGTATGCTTGTCACAATATGCTTTTAATGAATTATCATAGTATGAACTGACAGACTTCATTTTCATGCATAATTTGGCTTTTCGTGCACAGGTAGGATGAAAGGCAGTAAAACAGTGTTTGTTCTCGCATTGAATACATGCACCCATCTTTTGGCGACAAATATAACACATCTATGGAGCAAATTCGCAACTTAACTATTAATTAGAATTCAAATTATGGTTTTTGCAAACAAGATTACAGTTGATTCTAATTACCAATCGCCAACGGCTACGCGGAATTCTGTTAATATTGTCGATTGGTTCCATGTATACGGCATTAGATATTGTCACTTCAGGAATCCAAATACCGCATAATAAATGGGCCCAATGATTGGTAGTTGTTTGTTTGAAAGCTCCACCTTCATTCGGACAGAATATACATGACTAGAAGAACGAGGATATTATTATAATGTTATCAAAAGACTTTTAAATATATAATACACGTGAATTTTCAAAAAATCTTTTGGAAATTTACTTACTACTGGATTTTCAGGAGATATCATGCATTTTCTGCATAACCATTGTCCTTCTGGAATATATGGGATCCCATAGCAATCTACGTGTAATAAAATCAGTATGCGCAAAATAGAAAGATAGATGATATTTATTTTGTGTTAGCTAATACCTTGATGAACCGCTAAATTACATCCATCACAAAATACAATTGCATTGCTATTCTCGCACTCGGCATCGTCACAAATGGCACAAGCCGAATCTTCTGGCTGCAAGTTATCCCTGTCGGATTGTGCTTTAGGGATATTTTTTGTCTATAACAGAAATATGATGGTTGATTTAATAAGCTCTCAAATATAAGTTTGCTAGAAAACTTACCAAGTCGAACCACTCTTTTTCTAATCTGTCCATTATTGCTTCGAACTCTTCCGGAGATACTTCACCAAGCTCCTCTTTCTTCCGCTCACTATTTAGCATATTAAGCCATATTAAATCTACACACATAGGATAAAGTAATTATAAGTTTCAAAAATACTTGGTAAAACCTATTTTAACTAACGTCAAAAATCGAAGCTCTGTGTTTGACGGATTCTTTAATATATAGTTTTTAAGATAGTTTTGACTTTTGACAGTTTTATTAATAAGGTTTAAATATAGCTTCTGTCAAACCATAAGTTTTGACAGACAAATTTAGTAAAGATAGTTACCTTGCTCATCCATATCATACTCAACTCGATCGGCAAGTTCCATTTCGGTGGGTTCTATTTCACCAAAAACTTAGTTGTGTTTCACTCTTGACTAATCAATGAAATTATTAATATCAGGTTTAATACAAACCTAAATATCGTAGATAATGTCCTTCGGGTCGATCAAAAGAATCTTGTCCTTGTTCAACAATGGTGACGTCGACCCGACGAAAAGAAGGTACGGGAAGTTTTTTCTCAGACTTTTTAAGGGATACCGAATTCTCAACTTTATAATCGATCAATAATTTTTTTTCCGTAGACTTTAAGGCAACTTTACTTTTGCTTTCATCTGTATGACCATTAGCAAGACGCTTCTGTTCAATAATTTTCGTGGTGTTAGTAAAAGTGCTTTCAATGTGAACTTTTTTTTCGGTGGTTATAAGAGTGGATGAAGAACTTTCCGAAAGGTTATCACTGTTCAATATTGGAGCTTTTTTCTCCGTTGAGATATTGGACGAACTACTTTCAACGAGAGTTAGATTATCAATTAATTCATCCAGCCTTATTGCTTTCATATCTGAATTCGTTTCTCTTTCATCGATTTCCATTAAAATGTTATTTTGTTCAAAAGTTTTTTTTGCTGTTTCTGAATTATTTAGATTTTTTTCGATTATTAATATTTCGGATTCTTTATTGATAATTTTTTGTGTTTCTTTAGTGGTTATGAGTTCACCGGCTTTCATAATAGTTTCTCGAGAAGTGGTAATTTCGTTCGATTCTTGAGATGATGCAAGTTCATTTGGTTCTTGTGATTCTTTAATAAACAAGACCTGATTAACTTGCTGTGCTTCTTTAGTCAACACGGATTCATTGAAGTCCTGTATTTCAACGAGTTTATTGGATACTTTCTCTACTTGACAAACCAAAGATTCAGAATTGTTCTCTGTTACTGTAGATGCATATTGACTTTTTAATTCCGGAGAATTAACATCTTTTAAAGGCAAATCATCGATGTTCATAGGTTCTTTAGGGTCCATATTACTTTTCTTAACTGGTAATATATCTTCTTTCACTAGCGAATCATCTCCGTTCATAGATTCTTGTAGATCTAAGTCATTTTTTTGATCCGAAGTTTTATTTTCATCAACGGACAAATCATCTATGTGCATAGATTCTGAGGTGTCTGTGCCATTTACGTTACTTGTAGGCATATCTTCTTTTGCAGGCAAAATGTCCAAGTTTAGAGGCTCTTGAAGGTCCAAATCAGGAAAAAAATCTGTATATGGACGCTCTTCACGTGGCTTCTCTTCGTATTCTGGCGGAACTGCTTCTACGTCCAACCTAATTAGCGTTTCGTCCGAAATACGACCAGAAGACGACATTTTGCCCGTCTCTTTACTCTTATTGTTATTAGATTTGTATGAACGACGATTATTTTTCGAGGAGCGTGGCATCTTCAACTTATTACGACCTCTGCCTCGCCCTTTAGGAGAAGGTGGCGATCTGGTAATCAGGTGGGTAAGATCATTGACCACCACACCGTCTTTATTACTCACAGAGCTATTACTGGTAGACTTTGAACTGGAGCTTTTAGCAGCCACCATTTTTGGGAAGAAACTTGCCACCGACAAAAAGTGCTTTTATGATTCCTACGGTAGAATTTTTGAGTCTTTTATCACCTTTGTAGTATTGAAAAGTTTGCCAGGAAAAGTAAAGACGGAAATTAGAGTAGAATGCGTTTTTGACATGAATTACGAAACCAAAGTTTTTGTCTGGATAATATTGGCCACACTCTGTGCGACTAAAAACGAGATATGATATGTCTTACAAATCAGGTTTATTGACATATGAAAAATTTACATGGTATGAATGACTTAACGCTAAATATGCTCGATATAAGATGTAAATTAAAATTAGCAAATTTTATTCTATCATTGATGATAATCACACAAATTTACATACTACGTAATAATTCTTTCCTGGATACAATTAATTTTAAATTTCACCATTCTTCTCCGACGTTCAACAGTTCGAGTTCACTGGATCCTAAGATAATTGGATCGTTTGAGTAATAGTTTTCCTCTTCGGGGTCATTAATGGTCTCCTCTTGTATAGGAATCGATGCGTCATTATCTTCAATGTTATCGTCTATTCGCTGTATCCCTGCTGCTTGTTTTTTTTGATAATCTATCATTTTGCTTCTTTGTAAGGTTATCTGTGTGGTGAATGAGCTAGAACCTTTGCGACATCCAGGTGGACCACTTACGAACCAATCCGCATGCGTTAACACCAATTTATCAAGTATTCCCATTACACTTGCACTTTCATCTTCTTCCTCATCAATTTCCACAGTTATGTTATTAGATAATTTCTTCCAGGTATAAAAATCAATCTTTTTTCGAAGAATATCGATGGCTTCATGATGATTTTCATTGAGTGTATGAAAAGTTCCCGAATGAATTGGCCCTCCGTCAACTGGATAATCAGTTGCAAAGTATACATTTGTTATTCCACGTTCCTTTTTTAGCTTTTGAAGATATTTTACAAGATCTTTAGCACAGGTTGGAAGCTTGTGATCATCGGCTAATTCCATACGCCAATGTACTGCAACATACGGATGAATAGATGATGCCGCGGTCTGAGCAAGTTCAACAAGTTTTTCAGAATATGCAATTGGCAATGGTGTAGCATCGATAAATGGATATCTTAAAGTGTAAAGAATGAACATAACTTCCGATTCATCATTTTGAAGATTCTCTTCAAAGAATTTTGTTGTCCTCTCACGAATTTGTTCACTTTTCCAGTAATATTTGACTGTTCGAAGATTAAGTTCAGGGAATGACGATAATTTTTCTTCCTCGATAAATGACGATATACAAATTTCGCGTCGTGATTTTGCGTCAGTGAGGTCAATGGCAGTAGATGTGACTATGCTGTTTTTGCGATCACCTCCCTCAATAGAAACGATCTTCGTGGTCGGAAGCAAAGATTTATTTTCCTCATCCTTTATACTTTTCCGTTCTTCTAACCACTCATAAAGTTTCGCTTGTGAAATTAAGTTTGGCCGAGACAACAGACCATCTCGCAAAGACTTTAGAGAATAATAATAATCAAATGGATAAGGTTTACAAGAGTTGATTCGTGACTCACCCACGTTCGGAAGCACAAGTGTACGATTTAATCGTTGGGCCAATCGTAACAAATTTCGAAAATGTTGCTGCGCTTTTGATTCTTGTTCGCCTATAAATGCCGGGAAGAAATATTTACATTTGGCGAAACCACAATATTTTATATTTATCTCTTCGATTTTTGTGTATGAATTTTTTGGTCGAATTATTGAAAAGTTGTGTGGGATTAACTCGGTGTTAATGATTGGATGATACTACAAATCAGAGAAGGAAGTTAAATAACGCTTTCGTATTCAAGTAAGCAGTACACAGTAACACCTACATTCTCGTCAACATCCGATCCAGACTGTTGCAACTCTGTTATACTCTCATTGTATAACAGTAAATTGCATGCAAGCAAGATGAGAAACAAAATTAACAATTTTGCTCTCCATTTTCTACTGAACTCAAACATTTTTCTAAAGATTATTGAATTTAAATAGGCAAAGATGCTAACGCTTAAATAAATATTTTGAGTGTTCCAGCGCTCAAGTTACATCAGTACTTAAGAAATATGAAGCTGAAAGAAAAACAGCTTAAATTTTTTAAATTTTACACGGCAATACTTTATCGTTATGTAAAATTAATAAATATATCGATATCGAAGTTAAATCCTTATTTAATTAATATACAAAAATAACGCACCACTTACATTGCTAATCGTTAATCACCTGATTCGCACTCACATGCAATCTCATAATGTGCATGCAATCTATGGTCTATGGTTTTTTTAACTATAAACGGTAATCGCATTTGTCGTTAATTAATTAAATATCCGATATGTTTTATATTACTCTCGTTACACTAATTTTTATTTATTTTTTTTTCGATTTAAATACTGTAGGTTTAGGTAGCAAACGAAAATAATTTTATTTATGAAAATCGAGTTTTCCAGTTTCTTTTAACGATACACATATAGGCAAAATATTAGGCGAGGCCAAAAAAAGTAATGATTATTCAATCAATATCTCGTGGAATTATAATTTAATTTAAAATCGTAATTTATAGAGCAAAAAAAAATTCAATTGTAATAACGAAAAATAAATTGTCTATTGCTGTTGAAATTTACGCAATGCCTTCTCTAATGTAAATGCTATATATTCTATGGATTCACTTTCATCATCATCACAGGGAATATTATTTTCTGGATCTTTGACTTCTTGCTGTTCTTTGAAATGTTGCAAGCATTCTAGTAAAGACTGGACATGTTCATCAATTCCATTTTGTAAGAATGAGAGACAATGCACACACTTGAACCCATTGTTGGTATAATAGAACTTGTGATAAGTGTGACCAACTTTAATCGGATCTGTATTAATTAATAAAGAAATTGAACAGTTAGACGCATCACAATAATGAAATGGATCTGGCCTATGTAAAGTATTGAATCCTAAAGGAAAATGGCATAATCTTGCTTCTGACATTTTCATCACCATTAACAAAATGGTAACGTCATTAACTTTTTGCTTGCCCTTCTTTGAAGATGGATTGAGATTCGTGATAATCTATAATGGAAATATTAATGGTGATTTATTATAAAATAAATGTGTATAGATTTTTGAGCAGAATATTCATAGGCTGTCCATGTAGATATACGTGTAAAGTTTGTATTGTTAGCTTGGCCTTTGGCAATAACAAACTCAGTTATCCTTCTTCAATTGATTGGCATATGATAATTACATATGATCCAGTAATAGTAATAGTTGATGGCATATTTGTCTTCTAAGTAAAGTTCTCTGAATTTTTAATTCTTTTTTAACTCTTTTGCACAGTGAATATTAATACTCTTTTAAAGTAGACATAATAATACATTCTTGAAAAGTACTTTAAAGTATATAAATAAAAGTTATCTAGTAATTACCTAGATAATTGATTTATATTAACTAATTATATAAAAGTCTGATTTATGATCTTAATTCTCATGATTATGATTAGTTAATTGTCTGGATAACTTATTTATATATTTTAGAATACTTTTTAAGAATATAATATTTTATTAAAAAAAAATTATTATCAAAATCATTAGTCATTCTTAGTATTAAAAGAATATTAATATTTAAATCCAAAAAGAATTTGTTTTCTAACTTACTTTATTTAGAAGATAAAAATATTATTAACTAATAGTATTATAGAATCTTATATAATTATCTAACTTACTTTATTTAGAAGATAAAAATATTATTAGCTAATAGTATTATAGAATCTTATATTATTATTTTTTTGGTATGAGATAGATTGAAGAATTTAATTACTTAGCAAATATAAATAATATAATAAATATGAGAAAGATAAAACTAGTACTTACTTATTTAAGAGAAATTACATCAACTTGGTATTAGCAAAGTAAACTCGCAAATGTTAACTGATCTATAAGCTGAAATAATAATAATAATAATAACTTATTTTATTAAATCTTTGTCATATAGTTTAGAACAAATATCTAAGTCTTGATATAATAATAATAGCTAAGATTAAGAATGCAAGGAGTAAATAAAGATGTAACTTCTTATGCAGAAAATATCTATATATTACTTCAAAAAATTGATCTAATACAAGCATATCCTGCCACTTACTATATTGAGCAATTTGTAAAAGACTTGAAATCAGAAGTTATCTTCTATATAAATAAATCTAGATATTCTAGATATAGCAATATCAGAAGTGATCAGTATCAAGTCTAGCTATAGACAAACTTACTAAAACTCTCTTAATTTCATATTTCTTATGTCACAAAATCTTGATATTCTCTTTACTACTCCAAATCTAATAAATAATATAAGTAAAACTATAGCTAATCTTATAAAATAAATGAAGAAGCTATCAACTCAGAATAATCAAAATTCTAATAACTATTCTAACTAAAATAAGACTTGTTATAATTGTAATAAAAATGATTACATAGCCTGTAATTATAGATTGTCAAGA